AAATCTATTATAGATCTAATCTTCATATCATAAAATCTAATGAAAAAAGAACTTGTAAACTGATTTATTGATTTAAATGAGATATCAGAATTAGATTATGAGATTATTCAATTTAATATTGAACTGAGTGAAAATAAATGAGTGAAAATCCTCTTCTCTCTAATCAGTTTAACTTTGAACAAGCTGATTAACAAGCAGTTGAAGAAAGTATAAAACTGTTAAAATCTGAAAAGCAGAGTGAGCTATATTGAAATTCTGATCAAGATATCTCAAATGAAATACTTGAGAATAGAGTGAAGCTTATTACATCTATTATTCTAACAAGTATTAGAGATAATATTTCAAAGAGAAAGTCTTCTGAGTATTTCAAATCTTGATGAAATAAGAATATCTCATCTAAAAGAAAACAATTAGCTACTACTAGAAGAGATTGAAAGAATAATATAATATTTAATAAAGAGTTCAAAGCTGTCAGAAATGAATATTTTTCAGATATTAAAAAAGTTAAATCAGACTGCTGGAATAAATTTCTTGAAGAAGTGTAAGAAAAGAAAGTTTTTAAAGCTTTTAACTATACTAAAATAAGAAGTGTAGCAAAACTTTCAGTCTTAGAATATGAGTTTCAGAATGAATAATATATAGTAAATTCTTTTGAGAAAAAGTGTCACACTTTTATAAGAATTCTCTTTCAAAACTCATCAGATTCAGAGAAAGAGAAAGAGAATATATCACTCTATAACTATATTAATAAAAATGACTGAGAATGATCTGAGCTTACACAAGATGAATTAGAGTCAGCTATCTTCTCAAGTTAAGTTAAAACTGCTGCAGAGCCTGATTCAATCAATCACTTGATAATTTAAAATATATACTTCTACTTAAAGAATGAATATTTTAAGCTCTTTTTTACTCTCTTGAAAAATGAATATCATTCTGAATGCTGAAGAGAAGTCACTGAAGTAATTCTTATAAAATCTAATAGAAAAACTTCAATTTCTAAGTTATATAGAGAAATATCTCTATTGAACTGTCTAGAAAAGATTTTAGAAAAGATAATAGCTACTTAACTATCTTTTATAAGCTCTATTAATAATTCTCTTTTATTCAGTGAATGAATAAGAGATAGAAAGCAATGTTCTGCAATTGATACTGTTCTCTCAGTTATTCATGATATTTAAATAACAAAGTATGAAGATCTGGTCTCAACTGCAGTTTTTATTGATATAAAAGAAGTATTTGATCATGTTTCAAAGTGAAAGTTAATTCAAACTTTGAAGATGTTAAAACTGTCACTTTCTCTAATAAAATAAGTTAACTGTTTTATATTTAAAAGAATCATGCAACTATTCTTTGATGAAATGAAATAAGACAAGACTGAGATAAAAATAGAAGTACTGTAAGAATCTTTAATCTTACTCATTTTATTTACAATATACACTGTATATCTATTTAAAAATAGAGATATGAAAATAGTACAATCTCTAAGTTATATGAATAATATTGATCTAGTCTACAGCTTAAAAACAATCAGAGAGAATTTGAAAGTGATTGAAAAAGTAGTAAAGAAAATCTTTGTTAGAGTAGATATTAATTAAATTCAATTTAATATAAATAAAACTGAGTTACTTCATTTCTTTTCTAGATTCAATAAGAAAGAACTATACTGAACTCTTTTAAATAGAGAGATTACACCCAGTTTAAATATCAAATAATTAGAAGTATGATTAATCTTCAAGTTGAATTTAAATATCATATTCAATAAATAACTATCAAGACAGAACAACTATTGAATAACATAATCAGACTATTAAATACAGAGAGAGATCTATTCTTCCAGGCTATAAGACAGTTATATATAGCCTGTATTATCTCAGTAGCTGATTATAGAGTTCAAGTTTGATGAAATAATCAAGAAATTTCACTGAACTCTTTCAAAGTCTGTAAAACAGAGCTTTAAGAAGAATTCTGAGAGCATTCAAATCATCTCTTATTAAAGTAATGAAAATTGAAGCTTCAATTCTCTCTTCTGCTATTAAATTTGACAAGGCCTGTATAATCTATACTCTGAGAGTTATAAAGATGAGCTTAAATCATATAATCAGAGAAAGAGTCTCTTCTTCATTTTCATCAATTAACTCTGAAAATGAACTAGATTAGAATAGATTTCTTGATTGAAGTGAAAATAATTCTTTAAAGAAAATGTCTTCTCAACTATACAGACTATACTCACTGATTAAAAATCAATTCTTTTCTTCAAATATTGAAAAAGTTGATCATGAGAAGATATCTCTCTGAAGAGAAATGCTTGAATCTCTCATAGACTTGTAAATAAGTGAACTATCTAAAGAAAAAGAATATGAACAGTATTTGAAGAGAATTTCTACAATTAATATAGAAGACTCTATTCTGATTTATTTAGATAACTTAAAAAATAGAAATTTGAATAGATTAAATACAGATATTGCTTATATTGAAGATAATATCAATTTTGTCTCAGATTTCTGAAATTTAAGCTGTGAATCTGAAGTCTTTGATACTCAACTATTTATAATAGTGAAAGCTTTCAAACTCATTGAAATAAAATCTTATAAAAGAGAAAATAGTTTGAAAGAGATATGAATATTCTCTGATAATCAAACTGCTTTAAAAAGACTTAGAAATAGTTAGATTCATAATAATCAAATAAATCTTGAATGGATTTTAAACTCTGTTTTGAAAATTTAAAAGAGAAGAATATCAAAGTTGATAATTGATCTTCAGTGAGTTTCTGCTTATATAAATATTCATGACAATGAATTGACTGATTCAGCTGTAAAAGAGAGTTCAGAATTAAGCAGATCTATTCAAAAAATTATGTTCTGATCTTTTATAAACAGAAAGATAAAAGAATCATGTTTAGACAAGTGAAATAAAAGCTGATAGAAATAAAAGAAGAGTATACATTATTCAAGATTTGAAATAAAACTCAAGTGAAAATCTTATTTAATTAAATATAAAAAGAAAATATTCTCATCTATAATACAGCTGAAACTAGAATATGACTATTTCAAATCTTATATACAAAGATTTAATAATAGATTTGATTTAATAGAATGCTCATTCTGCAATGTAAATGAGAATTCTGAGTATATTATAATACACTCTGCATTATACAATAGTCTCAGAGTCAGATTGAAAGAGAAGTATAATCTAAATTAATTAAATATAAGATTCTTATTCTCAACTGAGACAGGAATTAAATACTTAATAGACTTTCTATCAGAAACTCAAGCAGCTATAAGAAAATGACTAAATTCAGAAATATCTGAATATGAAGAGGAGGAAATTAATCATATATAGTCTGTTAAAACAGCTATATACTATCTTTTGATAATTTATTTTATTACAGTCTCTCTTTACTTTACTTTTTCTTTCTATTCTTTTCTATCTATCTATTTAATGTGTCTATCTTTAAGACTGTGTTCTCTTTTCTTTTGTCATGATATTGTCAAATGATTTGAAAGTATCAGAAGATGTTAAAATACTGTAATTTATAAACAGTTTTTGTATTCTGAGCTGGAATTTTCTGATTTTGTATATCTGAAATTGGTGAATATATAATAGTTAACTTCATAGATATAGGAAAAACCCTGAGAACTAAAAGTTCTGAGATAGATATTATAGTCTCTGACTGCATACATCTATGATTGAAGAATAATAATAATAATAATAGATCATTGAGTATCTTTCAAAGAAGATGAAGTTTATCTTGAGACATATTATAAAGAAGATCTCATAATAATTCAAAGTTCTTATTATTCTTCTTTTTTAACTTGATACTGTGATTCACTTCTGAACCTGTAAGAATAAGTGCTCGCAGGCGATTATTCAGGTGTTTGCAGCTTGGTGTGATATGTACTGTTAACTACTAGAAGTGTTCATGGTAGGAAGATAAATGTAGGGGTCAAATGTATAATAGCATTCAAGCTGAGTTATAAATAGTATTCACGAACTCCAGTCTATATAGTTGTGTGTAGCCAAGGGCCGCTAGCCCTATTGATTATGCAAGAGATAGGAATAGGGGTAAAGAATCTGTGAGAAGTGGGATTTCTTACATATCCCTCTCTCTCTAAGGCTTCGTCTGCGAAGCCTTTCACTGAGTGACTTCATAGTCAGCTCAGCACTGCAGTGATACTCACTAAAAACCCTTCACATCTATAAAAAACCTCAGTGAGGAAAAATCCCTTGTTATCATAAAGAGAAAAGAGTCTGTCACTCAGTTTCTTGTTCTGTGAGATTCTTTGTAATCTACAGATTCTTCTCTGACTATCACACAGATTCATCTCACATCTTTCATACAGAAGAGTTCTGGTTGACTCTCAATCATTTTCATGAGATTCTTGTGTGATCATTACACAGATTCATCTCACAGATGAATCACTCTCTGTGAGATCATCCTCATCAAAGAGAAACATTTGCAAGTTGATCTTTCATTCATTCTCATAAATCATTGCTCTTTGACACTGTAGAATTGTGAGGAATTTTCCATTCTTTCATCAACTCTGTAGAATTGTAGAATCAAGATATTCACAGTCTGCAATCACTCTTTGTAGTCACATAGAAAGATTCAGGCCTGCAATTCACAATCATTCTTGTTTACTAGAGTGATCTGACTGTTTCACAGAATCACTCACAGTGTAAGCAAATCTCTCTAGAGTAGTATAAATATTCCAGATCTGTTCACAGAATCTCATCTTCTTTTCTCTTTTTCTGTAACAGCTTCTATTCTCATAAACTGTGAGTATTCTCATTCATCTGTGAAGTGTTTTCACTTAGATAACAGAGAGAGAGTATTTCTGACAATGTCTGTGTATTGATTCAAGAACTTCTCAAGAATAAAAATTTTTTCAATTTCAACATCTTCATAAACAATGTCTGGCTGCTGTCAAGCTTCTTGTGGGTGTCTCTGCAACTCCTCTGATCACTTTTTACTGGCTGATGGAGCAGGGGCACTGCCGCCCATGACCGCGCCTTCATCCTCCTCAGCCTCACCATCACACCTGATCTTCAGGCCAGCGGCTCACCTCATTCCTCCCCCAGACCAGTCCCTGGCTTCAAGCAGTGCAGTCCCTTTCTTTGCTGTAAGTCTTCTCATAAGTAATTCCTTACAGATCCTAGCTGACAGTTCTTGCAAAGCTCTCAGTGTTGTCAGTGTCTTCTGCAGCCCTGCAGGCCTACAACCACCCCCTCCCTGCCCGCACAATCTCTGACCAGGCATATGCAAATATGCCTAGGTTCCCTGTCAATGGTCCTCGCGCCGCGGCGCATTTCTGCAATCCCATTGTCAATGGGAGATGGGTCCCCGGGTACCCGCAAAATCCGGGTAATCAAGACAATGTGAATGCCATGAATTCATGACAGGAGTTGACCTGGGCAGATGAGCTCTCTCTCTGTGTTCTCATTGTTTTCAGGCTGAATACTTCAGCACAACTGAGAGAGTGAACACAGCTTTGTAAGAAATATCTAGTCACATACATAGATGACCAGTCTCCAAGGCCCTGCTGCAACTGTGCACACCCTGGTGTTCAGCTTCTCTGAAGTCTGTGCATTTCTGACAGTCTTCATGTCAAATGTAACAATTGTCTGTACTATGAATATGATACTCTCTGCTCCTTTGAAGAGAAAAATTGATAGTTGTGAAGAGATTGAGTGTCACAGATATTGATAATATGAGTGTGAGTTTTCTTTATTTTTTCTTTATTAATCTCTAAATTGCATTCACAGCCCTGTTTATTTTCTTGTTTTTTAGTTTTAATAAGAACATGTTTTCTTCTTTTCTTGTGTACACTGCAGACTGTTCATCTCAGTAGAAACTCATCATCTTATAGACTAGGATTTGCAAATGACAGTGTTAATATCTTTATCACAATCAGATTCTTAGTGAAGATCACATCATTCTGACTTGTTAGAATTCACAGTATGAAAGTCATGTCTCAGCTTCTGCAGATATCTTATCTGTCTGAATGATTCTTAAGTGAACTCATTCATCTTGTCAGAATACTCTTATCACTGAACCTTGAATCAGAGCTCACAATCTCACTTCTCTGAGTTAATAATCTCTTTAACCTGATATTCTCTTTCACTCTCTAGTGCTTCATGAACAGAGTGATGAGTCACAGAGTTCTCTCCTGAGAATTCCTTATATTTACAGAGTAAAGAGACATGAAAAATATTATACATCTGCAACTCAGGTGACAGTTTCAATCTGTAGAACTGTGAGCTAACTTTCTTCACAATCTTGCAAGACTCTGTTTACAAGAGATTCAGCTTCTTGCTAGATCTCTGTGTGATGATGTTTTCTAGACTCAGTCAGACTCTATCATCTTTCTTGAAACTCTTTATAATATGCTTGAAGTCATAGTATCTCTTCTGATACTCTTGAGTCTTTCTCAAGAATTCACAGGCTTTCTCCTGAATCTTCTGAATTCTCTCAGCTCATTCACAGACATCATCACACTCTATAGTGTACTCTCACAGGTTCATCAAGATCATCTGCAGATGAGTCTCAGTGAGCATCTCAAAGAGGGTTTTATCTGTGCTGACATGCTTTGAGTTGTTGTACATGAACTCTGTGAGTGATAATCAATGCACTCAGTCATTCTGATTGTAATTGACAAAGCATTACAGATACTGTTTCAATATACTCATCAGATGTTCTGTCTGATCATCTGTCTGTTAATGAAAAGTCATGCTTAGATCTCACAAGATCTTCAGTATAGTTATCAGATCAGATTAGAACTCTTCTGCAAAGATTGATTCTCTGTCTGAGATAATGTTTATAGACAACTCATGCAATTGAATCACATTGCAGACAAAGATATGAATCAAATTCTTTGACTTCAAGTTCTTATGAGTGAGTATAAAGTGTGTCATCTTAGTAAAGTAATTCACTATCACCAGCACACTGTCAAAGCAGGCATCATATATGTTCTTGTTTTCAGAGAGGCTCATAAGAGCATTCATTTCTAGCTATTCTCAAGGTTCCTGCAGAATGAATAGAGGAGTAAGTTCTTCATATGACCTGGACTGCACTACCCGCGAACCCTGACAAACAGCACAAGAATTCATTATCTTCTTCACAAGTTCTCACATCTTCAGTCAGAAGTATTTTCTTACAAGCAGCTCATGAGTTCTAGTGTCTGTAAAATGACCTGCTAGAGAAGAGTCATGATGTCTTTTAATGAGTTCTATATATAGAAACTCATTCACAGGCACATAAATCCAGCTCTCTCTTCACAAGAGATTATTTAAGTCTCTTCAATTCTTTGTTTCTGCAGGGTTGGTCTCTGCTGTGAGCAGTTTTCAAATATACTGAGCATATTCATTCTTCAGTTGCAGTTCAGACAATCTGAATAGAAGATCTTACAAAGACTTATGCTCTGTTTCTTCTTGCACCAGGTCTTCTACAGTGCTTCTCAAAGCCTGCAAACTCTTCAGATTATAGGTACTCTCTTCAAGAATCCTTGCAGAGATTCTCAGAGTGTTGACTCTCAGTGTTACAGAGAGTAGTTGCACAGGCTTCTTCTCTCTCTTCTCCCTCTTCTCTCACAGGGAATTGAGAGACTCTTCAGTCAATCTCTTCATAACACTCAGTCTGAGCATTCTGCAAAGCTTTTCTGCCTTCTCTAGTCTCTCTGTGTCTATCATTCTGGCCTTCTTAATATAGTCTAGTCTGTGAGAGAGTCTGTTCACTGAGTTCTTAGTTCTCTTGATATGTTCTATCTTGAACCAGAACTCACTCAGTCTCTGAGCTCAGTGAACCTACTGTTATGAGAGTTTCTTGATTGAAGCAAACTGTTATAAGCTGTTATGATCAGTTCTAACAGTAATCACTGTCACAAGGTTCTTGAAGTAGTGATATCAGTGATAGAAGAATTTCACTATCATGAGAAGCTTCTGATCATGAATGTCATAGTTGATCTCTGTGAGTTGCATCTTTCACAAGAAAAAGGTCACTGAAACCCAGTTCTCATTTGACTGTAGTTGCAAGACTATTCCTGAAATTGTAAAGAAGAAGATATCTGTCTTCAATCTGGTTAAGAGCAAGAGATTAAAGTGGAACAGTATCACTGTATCTGTGAATGTCTGTTTCAATCTTGCAAAGACCCTGTGAGCTTCTGAGATAAGAAAGTTCTCACAGTTCTCCCTTCTCAATAACCTTTTCATTCTTTATTCATAGAATGACTTCTTCTTGTTTTCATTCTTCAGCATGTCTGTAAGGGTCAAGGAAATCCTTACAAATGCAAAGATAAATCATCTATAGAAATTCACAAAGCTCAGAAAGATCTGAATCTCATGAATACTAGTTGACTCTGATCATGATAGAATAGTCTCAATCTGTGAAGGTTTCATCTGAATATCATCCACAGTGATTACATATTCTAGGAAATTAATTCAGCAGACACTGAAGTTGTACTTTACAAGCTTAATATACAGTTCTGCCTCATCTAAGGCCTTCAACACACTTTGCACATGCTCAGTGTGTTCTTCCTTCTTCATGAAGTACATCATCACATCATTCAGATATATTATCATGAAGACATTCAGATATGCACAAAGTGTTTTGTTGATGAAAGACTGAAATGCTATGAGAATATTAGTCAGATCAAAAGACATCACTAGATATTCAAACAATCTCAGTGCAGTTCTAAAGACAGTCTTTCATTCATCTTCAGACTGTATTCACAGCTGTGTATATGCATTGATCATATTCAGTTATGTGAATATGACAGCTTCTGTGAGACAGTTGATCACATTCTCAATCAGAGGCAGGAAGTAGTAGCTCTTTATTGTCTTGGAGTTCAGGTCACAGTAGTCTACACACAATCTGAGATCTTCATTCTTCTTCTTCATGAATATCACAGAGGCTCCTGTGAAGGCCTGTGAAGATTGAATAAAGTCATTCTTCAGATTCTTCTTCACATAGGTCTGCAAGGCCTCTGTCTCATGATGGAAGAGCTTATAGATTGATTCTCAGAAGGGTTTCTGTCCTTCTATCAAATCTATTGTCAGATTCTTCTCACAGTGAGAAGAAAGCTCAGCTGCCTTAGCTGAGCTGAACATCTCTGTGAGATCTCAGTATTTCTCTGATATCTGAAGCTCAGTTTTCATGATCACAAGATTCTCAGATACTTGCAAAGTCATCACATAGATGAACTTGTCTTCTCTAATCAACTCTGCAGCATCAACTGCTTCTATCTCTGTGAGTGAGTCTGTCAACACTGATCAAAAGTATAAACCTGACTTGTGAACAGCTATGTGCAGATTGTGTCTTTGAAGTCATGCAAGTCTCAAATACATGTCATCTGTGATGTCTGTGATAATCACAGTTTCTGTAAATCTTCTCCAGGTTTCAGAGAGATCTTGCAATTCAAAGATGATTCTTATAAGTCTCTTAGCTCTCAGGTCTGAGTTCTCACACTCTGCTTGTTGCAAGAGCAGGTTCTCAGTCTTCATCTTTCAACTCATTTGCTCTGTGAGCTTTAGAGACATCACAGTGACCTGAGATTCTGAGTTTATCAATGCTTCTCATGCTTGTGAGGCAGCAGCACCGCGGTGTGATCTCTCTCTGTGAGCAAGCATTTTCATTGAGAGAGCAACAGATTCAGGTGTCAGCTTCAAGACTCTTAAGAAGGCTGTTGCTGACTCTGTCTGCAATCTCTCAAATTTCTATTTTGATTTGTTCAGACAGTTTGTGTGAAGATGTTCTGATTTAGAACAGATGAAGCAGAGTTTCTTTTTCTTAATCTCTCTATTGTGCACTCTGTTCACAGAAGCTTGTGAAGCTCTCTCTCTCTGCTCAGCAGTCAGACATGAATCTCTCTGTGTCTTGTCATCTTTTCCTGACAAATCTGTCCTCTGTTGTCCTGGCCCTCGCGGGGCCAGTTGATGATTCACTCTTCACAGGTCTGTGGCTCTCACAGTGATTCACAAGTGATGAATGAGAGTCATCAGTTCCTCCAGAGTCAAGGGCTTAGAGCCTTGCTCAATGAGCTTGTCCTGCATACCTTTATTCAGCCTCTTCATAAACATCATCATCCAGGTCTTGTTCCAGGGCCCTGTTTCCACAGATCTCAATTCATGTCACAATTTCATGAAGTGCTGTGAGTAGTCTTCATCAGATTTCTTACCTCTTTTTCTAATATTGATGATTACAGTTCAGGTATTCTCTGTTCAGCTTGCAGAGTTTCTCAACTTGTTCTCTAGATAGGTCTTGAGAACAGATCATCAGAATCTCTCATGATCATTCTCTAGATAATTCAGTCAGTTCTTGGCTTCAGTGTAATAGAGGCCTGTCATCATGTAGATGACAGCTTCTTCATCTTTCATGTCACACAGCCGGGCTTGCAAGTCAATTT